AACAAACCATCTTTCATATTTTGTAGAGCTAGAGAATTTAGATATAAACTGCATGTCAACATTCATTCCTAAAAACCCATTGCTTTATTTTGATATTTATAAGGAATGATCACTATTCCATTGAAATGAATTAGAGAAATCTAACCTCCTATAATGGCTTTTAAAGGAGCATTTGTGCTTCTTCAACTTCAGAATGCAATAGTAATCGGGAAATGAGATGCTTTAGTATCATATTTATAATACTGCAACAATGTTACACTCTTTCTCAGGCGCATCATATGCCCACAGACTACACTAACTGATGCAAATGATGAGAAATGTAACAGAATTTATCCTCCTGGGTCTCACCCAAAATCCACAACTGCAGAAAATCTTATTCATTGTGTTTTTCCTAATCTATCTGGCCACACTGGCAGGAAACACACTCATCTCAGTCACTGTCTTCATGAGTCCAGCCCTGGCTTCTCCCATGTACTATTTCCTCTCCTATCTGGCCATCATAGATAGTTTGTACTCCTCCTGCATAGCTCCCAAAATGGTCTTTGACTTGGTCTCTGAAAACAGCACCATATCCTTCAATGCCTGCATGACTCAGCTCTTCGCTGGACATTTTTTTGCCGCAGCTGAGATCATCCTGCTCATCGCCATGGCCTATGACCGCTACGTGGCCATCTGCAAGCCCTTGCACTACGTGACCCTCATGAGCCGAACTGTGTGTGCTTTCTTGGTGGGGGCTGCTGTATTCTTAGGGCTTGTTCACGGGGGGATACAGGTTTTGTTTATAACCCAGTTACCCTTCTGTGGCCCAAACATCATTGATCACTTTACATGTGATTTATTCCCAGTCCTGGAGCTGGCTTGCACTGACATGCACAGTCTGGGACCCTTGATAGCTGCCAACAGTGGGTCGTTGTGCTTTCTTACATTTTCTATGTTGGTTGCTTCCTATGTCATCATCCTGCACTCCCTGAGGACATACAGTTCTGAAGGGCGCCACAAAGCCTTATCTACATGTGCCTCTCATGTCATGGTTGTTGTCTTATTTTTTGTGCCTTGTTCATATCTCTACCTGAGACCCATGACCTCTTTCCCCACTGACAAAGTTGTGGCAGTGGTCTTTACCCTCATAACACCTATGCTGAATCCTTTAATCTACACCCTCAGAAATGAGGAAGTAAAAAAGGTTATGAAGAAGCTCTTGGGTCAAATAATGAAAGGGGATATTGCATGAACCTTGTAGTCATGAATGTAGACTAGAGTTACCAAGTGACTTCAGATTTCTTCTCCTTCTTGACTAAGTTCACAGTCTATTTTTCTCTATATGAAACTCTTTAATTGACATATAATAATATTTTGGAGTATAAGGTGATAATTCCAAACACATATATAATGTATACTGATCAAATCAGGCAGTGTTTAATAGTTCTTTGTTAAGGGAATCTCTACACTCCTGCCTTCTAGTTCTTTATAAAATAAATAACACTTTTTTGTGAACTATATCACATACAGTACTATAGAATTCTAAAACAGTTTCATCTTATTTTCTGCCTATTATCCAGTCATCCTCATTTCCACTCCTCCACACTCTTTCTAGCTTCTGGTGACCACAAGTGTTCTCTCAGCTTCTACGAGATCAATATTTCAGGTGTCCACTTATGGGTAAGAAAATGCAAAATTTGTATAATTGAGCCTGGATTGTTTTCTTTATCTAATTTTCTTTCATCCTACCCGGGTTGTCACAAAGGTCAGGATTTTGTTAAATTTATCGCTGAATAGTATCTTACTGTGCATATATGCCACATTTTATTTATGCATGAATCCCTGGATGAAGACTTCGATTTTCACCAGAAGCAAAAACAGTGGACTGGATTCACATTGAAACAGAGAAAAAGAGTTCTAAGATCCATCATATTTACGTGGCCCTCTAGTGGTTAATTTATTTAAAATAAAAAGAAAAAATACAGTAATGTAACTTTAACTTTTTTTTTAATTTAATACAGGGTCTAAAGGGTCTCACTACACAGATTGGACTTGTAGTGATTGTGCCTGCTTTTTAGCTTCCAAAGAGCTGGGATTATGGGCACATGCCACCGCTCCCAGTCTCAATCGCCATCTAAGCATGTTCCAGGGGATGGGGCTGGCATAGCAAGCCAGGGTGATCAAACTCCTGGCCCCTATCTCTGCTTAAGCAGGAACTTTAATCCACTGAGCTATCTAGCCTGCCCTAACATTAACTTCTATTATATTCATCTATTATCTTTTACCCATATACTCATGAAACATTATTATTAATTATTATTATTATTATTATTATTACTTCAGATACTATCATTTCTGATCTGAATTCCTCTGTATCCTTCTGCAGTTGTTTCTTTACTTCAGATGCTATTATTTCAGAGATTTCAGTTTTGTGACTCCCAATTTCTTCTATGCTAGTATCTTCATTTGTTCTGGGTGGGCTCAGGGCCTGAGAATGCATCTTGCTCTTTCTCTTTGTCATTTTATATTTCAGAGAGAACTCTTTATTTTTATTCCTGTGATACTTTTGATTGATAGTAAGTTAGCTGTATCACTGTGATCAGAGCCTCTCTGTAAAAAGTCTGTTCTTTAGGTATCTCTTCTGTGTCAAATATTCTTGTATTGTGTGTGTCCCATGATTTTGCCCTCTCTATTGATTGAGAGTGAGATATTGGTTTCTGTTTGGCATTGTCCTCTGTCCTTAAGTATATGGATTTGGTGAAGTTATTACCTAAACACCTCCTGATATTATTATGCAAGAGAGAACATGTGGTTAAGGCAGGTATGGTTTTCTATTTACAGTAATACAAATAGCAACACTAGTAATTGTTAGTGACATTTAGCAATTGGCAAACTTTTGTAACTAATGGGTTTGTACTTTAGGTCATAAGATCAAATATTATGGCTGTATAACTAAGTGGATATGAAATTGGGAATTTGTATTTGAATTAGTTCCCCTATATTCTGTCTGATCACCTCCCCTTCATGTACCTGGATTCTTCAAGTCAGACATTCACCCCAGTTACCTTTTGCCACCTCTGTCCTGAGAGGATACTCCTGTAGATCTGGGTCTATGTCTTGGCCCCACTGGACCTAGCAGTGTGCCTTAGCTCACCAAGTCAGGATCTACCAAAGTCAAACTCAACCACATGGGCCTGGATTAGGTCTGGCTGCTGTGTTCGGCTTCTTCCTACTGCAGCACATTAAAAAGAATGAACTATGCCCTTCTGGTTAAATGCTCTGCTCCTGATTTAGTATGCTGGGTCTTGCCCCTCAGGCAGTTCCACTGCAGGGTCCTAAACCAAGCCTCTCTGATAAAGTTCCACTATCCAGTCCCAAACTGGCCTCTCTCTATTGCTTTTGTGAGAAAAGTCCCCCAAAGATAAAAATTTCCAAGAAACTAATACAGTTACCCTGCTGTCTCTTTGGTGGGTATAAAATTGCTCAACAACATAATCTTGACAACTTTCACACTCCATGATGCAGTCAGAAGAAGTTGTATTTTAATACAGAACAGAAAACACTATATGAAAGAAATATTCAAGAGTAGGACAAGCCATCTGTGCATATGTTAATCAGAATGTTTCTGGTCTTCTTAGTCTAACAGGTTTACAAATCTTTGCCTCCTCTATAATAGAAAATTTTCTACTTGAAATCACATAGAAAGCACCCTTAGGCAAACAACCCCATAGTTGTATTTATGCCACTCTTACATCTACACAGTTATATATGAAATTAATTGGAACAAGAAGTGGCTAAAGCAAAAGAATTACAATCAGTATGGCCTATGGAGTTAAGAATACAATATCTGAACATTAAAGTTATTTGTGACACATGGATATAGAAAGAGAAGGCTATGACAATACAAAAGTCATCTGAGGAAATTCCAACGTAAGTGCAATTTAGATAGTTACCACTTTTTCTCTTACCTCCAGCACTATTAATATTATAAATAAAAACATGCTGCTTCAACTCTCTTCCTAATTACTCATCATAAAAGGCTATAGCACTACATACTTCCTTAAATGAGGTTGAATTACTTAAACTGAAACCAGGTGCCAAAAGAAAAATTAGGAACCATGTTCTACCACTGCATGAGCTCCAGAGATGGCACCAGGGAAATGGAGATGCCCAGGACTAAAGCTTCTAACAGAGGAATCCAAGGGCACCACTGCTGTCCTTCACTAGCCATGATCCAAGAAGATGAGACCTCTTTCCCAAACTTTATTCATTTCAAAATATGTCCTATGCACCATCCATGTTTGAGTAGGGACTATATTGCACTGACTTAGCATTCAGCAAGGCTGTTTAGTAGGAGCTTGACATGCAAATAAATAGTTCTGTAGTAACCAGTGGTGAGAAAAACTGTTAGATCCCTGAGCAGCATTGACTACAAAGCTCTCAAAAACAATAGGCCTCCCACCATCTGAGGCTCTGGAAAAGGAGAAAGAAGACAGCATGCCCAAACCTGAAGGCCTTCCTCTGTGCTGACTCTGTGGCTAGTGGGCGAAATCAGGAACACGTCCCACCCAAAGATCCCGGGACTGCTTGCAACTAACATTTCCTGAGTCTCCAGAACTTAGGTAAGGCCAGATTTCATGTACAATGCTTACAATGGAAGGATAGATGCTGTGCTATAATTTTCTACAAATGCCAACATTGTTAAACTGAGGGAGTGAATAGTGTTTAAAAAATAACAAGAACCATTCCAAAAAAATCTAGCTTACAATTGAAATACAGTGTGACACAAGATAATGTAATAGTTCTTCTGGATGGTTAACAACCTAAGTTTGCAGACCAAAATTAGAGAAAAAGGAGGGCTGCAAGGAAAGCCAACATTTTGGCCCTAGCCTTCTAAGGTCAATTAAGACTCAGGACATATGAGAACTTGCACTGCAATGTCATGTAACTCAGTAGTGTCCCAAATTTTCTGATCAAGGAGATTATGGGGCCAAAGAGGAAAGTGATCGATGATGTAGAGTGTGCCTAAGGAGAGTCACACGGAGAGAAAACATTCTCTCAGGCTCATGAATAGAAGGGTTTTTTCTAATGGTGTTTGTAAATAGAATATCATATGCGCATATTGTACAGCAATTAACCACTAAGAAGAATGTATGCAATGTGTTAATTATTGAAACTGTCCTACCAATTTGATTTGAAACTGTCTCATTGCTGTTTGTAGAAAAGTAGAAAAATATTAGATAAAATAAAAAATTTCACTAAACAATATAATAGTAATTCAACAATGTTTTTGACAAAGCATAATGCTGTCTTCAAATTAGCTGTTTTGTTTACCAAATATAAGCATGCAAAATTGAGAGAGCAAGAGACAGAGAGAGACAGAGGGAGAGAGACAGAGACAAAGACAGAGACAGAGACAGAGAGACAGAGACAGAGAAATTTCCTTTCTTGAAAAAAGAAAACAGATTTGTAGCAGCAATAACAAACTATTCTTAAATATGATGACATATTTGTTTTATGTTTGTTTCCATTGTTTGCAATACAAAAACATGTGAATATATTATTCTTTAAAATGAGTATATTTTTTAAAATCTTATGTTCTCTTTTTCTTGAACAAAAATTCTAGGATGAATTTGATAGTGTTCTTCCAATCCCTTTTGAGAAATAACCTTCACATACACAATAAACACTTCAACATATACACTTAGAGATAAAATAATATTGGTGTTTAGCTATTGTTTAAAAATATCATCATAGATATATCACTGTTCAATTTACCTTTTCATACACTATTATTACATCATACTACTTTCTACTGGCATATGCACATTTGGTTTATTTTTAACTATGGAATATAAATCCAATATATCTCTCATATTTGACTGAAGCATTTATCAGTCTGTTTTTTCTTTTATTACAAAACATTTTATTGTAAATGTCATTATACATGATTATATGTACACATACAACAGAGCTGTTCTAAGTAAGAACATAAATATAGGAATCGATACACATACGTGGAGGGGGTTACTATTGTGAGAAACTACATTAAAAACCTTATGTAGAACACCTGATTTAATTTTTACAATAACAATTTGAAGCTCAGATATTCTTTAAAATTTTGTCTGATCTTTGCTGGGAGACACAGTTAATGCCTTTCTTTCAAAGGGGATCCTGCTATTTCATGCATGATAAATGAACCTGGATAAAATTGTGCTCAAACCACTCAGCCTGATGCAAGCATAAAAAAAC